GAGGACATAATGATGTTTGTGTGTGTGTGTGTGGGGGGGGGGGTGCATGCATCCTCGTCGGTCGCATTCGGTACAACGGTATACCGGCTCGTTCAGATTATGACGCGGTAGACCGCCGCAGTTTTTTTTAACGTGTAAATCAATGGCAATTGCGTACGTCATCCTAAAAAACCGTCGCCGCTTTGCCGCGTCACATCTGAACGGGACCTTGTCAGTGTAGTACCACTACTGACTGGTGGACATGTATCTGTCCGGTTTCTGCCACTCCCGATCATTCAGAACGCCAATGATAGTCAGATTGAATATTACCTGATCCACAGCAGTCACCGGGACACGGGGAAACTGACGAGGGAAACTGGTATAGGTCGTCGATCGCACAAATGCTTTTATGTATTGTCATCTTATCAACCCTATATTGTGTAGTTTCATGATACAAAAAAGCGATGAGTGTAATTTCATCATTTAGGTGCTGTTTTAGTGTGTTTAGAACTTATGATAACATAGAAAGAAAAAAAAAATCCGTAATTATTGTTTAAAGACAGAATGTTTAACAAGGTGATGAATAATGTTTCCATTATGTGTCGTATAACGGTAGGAGTATCAATGTTTGCCCATATAGTTTTACCAGTATGAACAAAAAAGAATTCTGGTGAAGACGATGACGACTGTGGTTTTGATGTGGATTTGTTAGTAAAACTGGAGAAAAAAAATCATTTTGGAAAGAAGCAGTTTGAAGCACATCTTCATGAGGTCAAACTGCATGAGATTAACCGTACCCGCATGTCCCCCTTCCTAATTGCTCACTGTACTTCCAAGGCCTATATTATAAGAAGTGAATACAGTTGATCTCTTATCTATCGGATTGATTTCATGACCATAATTATACCTGCATAAAAAGTATATATACATGTATAATTATGGCCATCTTCAGTGATTTGGAAAAGAATAGTCGTTGTTATTTACGGCTTGATGTGTGCAATGTCCCCGTCCTTTATGCTTCATCTTCCATTTTCTCTTTCTTTCTTTCTCTCTTCCTCTCTCTCTCTCTCTCTCTTCTCTGCTAGTAAGGTTATCATATTTTGTTATTATTTCCATTATCTGTAAAATGTTTGAGTATACACCAACTTTTTTGTTGTAGCGTAGGGGACGGGGGGGGGGGGGGGGGGGGGTTTAGGATTAACTAAGCATTTTTCTACATATATTTTCTAATTATATTACAGAGCACTTATAATTTTTTTTATTCTCAAGGGGTGTATAAAATACAAGCCATGCTTTTTTAATAGACTCCTCCATTACGTTTCACCACTGTGCCACTGTATCCTTGGTTAATGATATGTTATTGAATTTGTATATATTGCATATTCATTTGAATTTATATTATGTGGAAAAATAAAGAAACCATGAAACCTTGAACAAACGAATTAGTTTCCGAAATATTCTCGGTTTTCGAGATGAGACGGACACACTTTTCTATTTACTTCTTGCCCAGTATTATACAACAGTATGATATACAGTATTATAACTCTACCAATCACCCCTTGTCCGTTTTCCATTTGACAAAGCTTCATTTCTCTTCCTCTTATATTCCCATTTTGTCTCTACCCAACTATGTCTGTCTGGCTCTCTCTCTCTCTCTCTGTCTCACCCAGTCTCTTTCTGTCTCGTCTGTCTTTCTCTTATACTTTTTTTCACACTATACCCAGACATTTTAGTATGTTCTTTCCACTTTTCATATTGGTGTGAGTAATATTCTTTCGAAAATGTTTTCCAATATCTTTTATGTATTTATTTTTGAAATATCACTTTTTAACACACAGTGCATATCTCTCTCTCTCTCTCTCTCTCTCTCTCTCTCTCTCTCTCGCATTGTCTGTCTAAATTAGGCACGTAAGAAATACATTTCGAAATTGACGACATATGCAAAAGTGGTTCTAGTATTCTTAACATTTATATATATATATATATAATAATCCTATTTTTTATAGGGTTGATTAACGACCATGAAAGTACCTGCAACGTAATCAAGATCTTTCTTTCTCTCTCTCTTCCTCTTTCTCTCTCGATTATATGTTTTTTTTTTACTATCAAATGAATCAGAGTACCAATGGTCTGCTGAACATCTCACCGTGGGAAAGCTTGAGCATTTTGTTACCCGTATCCATTATGGTGAAGCTCCTTGTATTACCGTCAAAAGAAAACTGTTCTTTCATGCCACAAAGGAGTTGTAAACAACAGTGCTATGCGCAAAGAAAGAAAGTAAAACGGTAAACGCACGATACGCTTTGTCTGCTCTTGTTGTATTTACAAACTATCATGTCTCTTGTCAATAGAGAGTTCTGAAAGGCCAGGAGATTCACAGGAAGATAAATGGGAATGATTTTTGGAGGATTTGGTAATGGCACAAGGTTAGTCGTTAAGTATAGGTAAGTGGTTAGGATTAGTGACACCATATTGTATAGTCTTTGCGCGGATGTGCAAAAAGTCACAAGTATCTGGTTCTTAAATCCTGTTTATGAATCCAAACGTCGGAAAGATTGCCCCCAATCAACGTGTCTTCTCCCTTGCATTTACCCCTAGACAAAGAAACCCCTTATATTTTTAGTCAAATGTACCAGTAAATCATTTTGTTTATCCGTAATTTCTCTATATACTTCCGTTACGTTATTATCGTGTTTTTCGTCTTAATTTGAAAAAAAAAAAAAAAAATAGATGTAGTATAGAGGCCAAGTACCATATTTTGTAGTTTTTTTAGAGGATGCACTTTGATGCATGAACACATTATTACGACGAGATGGACAGAAGAAAGAGAGAGAGAGAAAGATAGTTAGAAAAAGGGGAGATAAATTGGAAGAGGGAGAGATAGATAGATAGAGTGGAAAGAGTGAAAAGGGTAACTAGATTTATAAATTGGAAGAGGGAGAGATAGATAGATAGATATAAAGATACAGATAGAGTGGAAAGGTTGAAAAAGGTAACTATAGATTTATAAATCTTACAAACTAAATTTCTTTTGCAAATATGACGTCAAGTGTATTCATTTCATCCCCACCATGAAATCCCAAACCCAATCCATAGGGTAATTAAGAAAGGAAGAATTTTAGAAGTTGTTTGTATAAAGAAATGGTCAGGGTCAATGTATATCTCTAAAATATTCTATGCTTAATAAGATTTGCTATACATGTCATTCTTTCTTAGGCAGACACTTTATGTCTGTTATCATTTTAAAAACATGCCCCATACACACACTCTCTTTGCCTATATTTATGTTATTTTTCTTCATCCATTTTGCCATCTTCTCATAAATCTACATAATCTCTTATTCTTAAACATAGTTGTAGAACTTCCAAACTATAGCTTTTCGCATGATAACTTCTCTCTACAACTCTCTTTTATCCATCTTTTCCTTTTTCTCTCATCTTTTTCTCTCTCTCTGTCTTTCACTCTTAATCTCTCTCTTTCTCTCTCCTTCTCTCTCAATATTGATATAACATACCACATTTTCAACAACTTTTGATTCACATTTCTCCAAAGCTCTTCAATTTACGATTACGGTAATATAAAGAGAAATACAAGCGAGTTTTCGGCGGTAACTTTTTTGCGTTTTCTTTATTCGATTTTTCGAATGCCAACAACAGTACCAAGAATAAGTGCTCAACGTACGACGAGAGTTGTTTGAAGTTGAATTAACTTTTAGTTTTATCCACATTATGTACAAACTGTACACTTCTGAGCTATAGAAATATACATAGCATATACAAAAATGACTTTAACAATGTGTAGTAAAATTGGCCAAGAGCGTGAACACTTTAATTCAGAACAATATTCTTGAATTTTCTTGAATCTCTCAAAAACATTTAAATATTAATGTTTGTGATGAGTTGTATTGGTAAAGCTAACAATAACACGATTGCTCGCAAGATATGAGCACAACGACTTACATTTTGGTCCCTCTGCATAGCAAAAATTTAAGTTACAAAGTGAATTAATTTATAAAAAAACCACATGGCTTTTCATATATTTGCCGTCCGTTAGACCTCCATCAAAATTCATTTTCTAGGAAAGAGCTTCTGAATGTAACAAATGAATGATGATGGAATTCTATGGAACCGACTCGATATCATACGTCACAAGAGTACGATTAAACGTATGCTTCACATCATAACTTTTGTTTAAATAACAGAATCAAACGAAAAAATTTCTCAACTCACAAAAATATATAAAATATATCAAGAAAACTTTATATCTCAATAATTTAACACATCAGTAGTAGTAATAGTAGAAGAAGTAGTACATTTTCTACAATGTGTACTTTAAAATTTTCTTATTAAATCTTTTTTTTTTTCATTTTCTTTCTCATATTTAATAAATATAAGTAGCAAATTTGGAATACAAAAACGACTGCTACTTCCATGTCTGATCTATAGTGTGAGTGAATAATTACGTACTGATTACGACTGGTGAGCAAGTCCAATAAAACGGTGATGAATTTCTACACGAGTTTTTGAATGAAATTGGCAAGATTCTGCCCGATATTTATAATGTCACTTTTCACAACACAGCTCCACTGATAACATTCTATAGCCTACAGAATTTGAACGTTTTGCAGAAACCGTATATTGTGTTTATATGTTTCAGATACAGCACATTTTGTGAAACTTTGTACAAAGTTTAATGATGAAGTAATGCCAAGAATAGCTCTTGGTGAATCCTGTTTTTTGTTTTCTTCGTCTTCTCCTTCCCCTGGTTTCGTATATGATTTGGGATATGGTATATTGGTGAGCGCCTGGTTTATTGGATCTTCGAATATGAATAATCATGATTAAATTGTCGATTGCAAATTACAGATAACAATAACAATCATTTAAATATTGCTGCGTGTAAAAGAACACAATAATTTAAATTCTTTTATCATAAGTCTTGTTATCTTTCCAAAAAGGCACACAACGGCTTTTTATCTCCAAAACATTGTAGACAAATGGATATGAGAGCTGCTTCAACCAGATAACCTGGTATGGCATGAAAGATTAAACGGTGCATAGAATTTGGTGGCGATAATTTTTCTTAAAAGATATTTATTTAGATCAATTAGTTCGGCGCCCTCCATTTTATTTATTAAGTCTCTCCTTCTCTCTTTCTCTCGTTGGGTATCCACCTATGAGCGGCGCTGTTCCATGGCAGTGGGTGATAGCGTTGAATACATAGCGCATGAAGAAAATAATATTGCAACATCTTCCCCCTCTTCTTGTCTCATACCTGTACATGGGAAATACAAATGAAAACATTGGTCAGTTCACGTTATCATATAAATATACAGAGAAAGAGTGGTTGCAGAGGTAAATCAAGTAAAGTAAAGTTATTGTACAACTAGTTTCAAGCAGTTACATTGGTTTTTTTAAAAACTAAATTCATTTTCTTGTCGCGGTCCCAAGATCTAATAAAACTCTGTCGAATGATGTGTTTTTCTCTCTCCAATATTGGGACCAAAACATGGTCTTTCTGTGGAGCTCATTAGCATATGAATGTTATGACAACAAACAAGCGTGCAGAGCGGCAAACATAGGAGGCGAGGCACGCGATTGGTCCTTACATCGCTTGCACCTGGTACCCCTAATAACCACGTGATTCAAACAGTCTCCATTCAATCGCGCCGCGAGCCATGCATCAACAATACACCGCCATTGACTTGCCCCTTTTTTCTACAATGCCTCCTTTACTATACAAGGCTTGATTTGTTCCAGGTTTATAATTTTGTATTGGTCACGGTCCAAAATAATAATAAAAAAAGTAACATGAAAACTAATACAGAAATAAGTTCCAGGTATGATTCAGGTATAATCAAATCAATTTATTATTTTCCCCTGTAGGCTTTAACGCTTGATTGTAATAATGTAGTAGTGGTGGAAGACTATTGCAGAGTGTGGCTGTGATTTGGTTAGAGTCCAAAGCCTACGTGCAGCGCGGAGTAACCTGACCTTACTCGCGTGGATGGTGACCCCTACTTATTAGACGCGAATGGTACCTCAGAAGGGTAATAAAAATGGCCTGGCGTCAAAGAACGGATATCATTCATTCTTCCTTATTTTGATGTTGTTTGAGTTTTTAATCCATTTTGTAATGTATTTACTTTCAATGCCAAAAATGTGCAAAAACAAATCAAATCGATTATTTTGCTCCTCTTACGTTTATGCTTTAGTCTACGAAAACATCACACTTTTCAACGTGCAAATCAACTCATCTAATGAATTAATTAAATCTAAGTCACTTAAGCGAACATGATTTGAGACACTTTTTTTTATTTCGATTTAAATCTTTAAAAATAAATTGAAATATATCACTTTCCCCATCAAACAAAGGCTTAAGAGTTAAGTTCAATCCGAACGGTTATTATGAAACGCATATAGCCAGCTAAGTAGAATAGGCTTGGTGCCGTGATAGGTCAGTCCCATCTAAACGACCTGCATTCTCTGCGTGCCGTCAAGACTTGCTCACCCTACGGCTCTTCCCTTACTATCTAAACTCCACCATGCCCTATCCATCACACTGATACCATAGACCGACTATCCGCCCATCATCTCATCTACTCAACACTGTATTGAACAGACAGCCGAGCTATAGTATGCCCATCATTACGACCAATGATTGTACAAGTTATCATACAACTATCATATCGCCCACACCAAACCTACGCATAGCTGCACCGTTCTCGCTGTACGCAACCCTCGCCAGCACTATACAATAATGGCCATTGGTATATCAATAATAATTGTTGCTATATATTTTAAAAGTCAGCCAAAACATCGCTCGATTCGATGATTTTGTTTTGAAACTTGAACAAGTCGGATTCTGTTCTACCCTTAGATGTATACTTTCTCGAGATAATGTTGAACGCTCATTGAGATAACAACGTCCAAACTCGACAAACTTTTCAAAACATTTACGACAGCATAAAGGCGCCGAAATGAGATAACAAAGTACATTGGTGTTATAGTAGACATCCTAATGTAACTGCTTGAACTAGTTATATTTTTATACAAAACTCAAGTTAAAAAAAAAGCAATGTGGGTGATATATTTGAATCAATATTAGGGGTGGAATGTTTTTATGACTTACTCATCCAATCAAAAAATACAATAATAAAACAAGAACAAAACATAACAACTCATTTAACAAGTTCAAAAGCATGAAACAATGTCAGCATTGCTTCTGTGGTCAGCCAAGCTGAGAATTATATTGAGGTTGTATCACTGATTGATGAAGACTATGGTCTGAAACCTCGTCCATATAGCCGGTAAAACATCACAACTTAATGGAACGATATTGATTGATGCTAAGCTTAGAGATCAATGATGAAATAGAAAACATGGCTGATAATTACCTCAGTTGCGTGTAATCCGACAGACGTCGACGTTGTCGTTCCCCTACTATCCTCGACCACAGCCCTATAAAAAGACAAAAATAAGAGAACATATGTTACCAGGATAAAGCTAATATGAATATGGTTGACTATAGTACGCAGAATATTGATTGTCGCTTCCTACCACATGTATAGCATACTAGCATAGCATGTTTTGTTACCGCATATATTTTCTCGTCACCCTTTCGATCATGCACAGTTTTAATTAATCTGATCCATCCTCAAATGCTATTACAGCTCATGCATTATGCAACACATACATGTAACACAAAACGACAGTTTCATTCTAAATGTCTAACTTGGGTGAAGAATATTGTTGTTTTAGCACCGTTTTATAATAATAATTATTATTATTAGGGAGGAATGTTTACATATACATCGAAACATAGTCACCATAATAATCTCTTACACAATACTGCCGCCCATAAAATGTACAATTCATTCCAGAATATTTTCGTTGTTTTCCAAAATGACTGAGAGGGGAATAATAAATTAAGCTACTACTTAGGGATAAAAACGACTTTAATCAACTTCCATTTTTATGTTATGAAGTATCAATTAATTTCACACAAGGTCCGTGAATATCAATATTTAAGAGTCACCTCAAATAAGCCTTTTCAAATTCCAATTCCCAATCTTTTCATATCTAATACCTCATGGTGGAAGCTTTATAGTATTGTTTTGTCACGATTCAAGCGACAGTGCCAATGAAGGCAATTTACAAAACACTAGTGAATTTTATGTACATGACGACTCTTTTCTCCCCACGAAGAGTTTCATTTATCCACATCACCGACAACAACCCTCAGAATGAAGATGTATTCCCTAATCGCGTTTAGTAACCTTGACTACAGAGCATCTACATGCACGCATTATCTGTCGAAATCAAACTCCCTTTTCAGTCACTCAGTTAGCGAAGTAGTACGCTGAACCCTTCTGTTTTCATCGAAAACAAGTATCATTCCTTCGAAATATACGAACTCGATTAAATGCATGCATGCTGACTGATATATATAATTCACTCCCTTTCTACATGTTGAAACTGAAAGGGATGGATATTCATAATCAATTTTCTGCACATTCGATTCTGTGGTAAAATATCCCTCCCTCAACGGTATATACATAATTATGTATGCTCTACCATCCTCCCCATCTCCCTGAAAACAAACTGAACAACCATTCTATTCGTCAATCAATATGGAAAACATGACACAATATTGTTAGATTTAGATTGTTTGCATTGTAACTACGATGTGTATATATACTTACGATATTTGTGAGATGGGGCACGTCCCTGTGTGTCTAGGCGTACTCTGAGATGAAGAACTTTGACTAGGCGTTTGCAATGAGTCTGTTCTCTTAAGTTGCACTGATTTTTCATCATAATAATAATATTCTTCAGAGTCATATCTCGGAAAAGATTGTCTTGCTTGTGGCGCATAGTTCATACTTGATGACGTTGGAATAATCATCAATTTGTTCACTGAAGGCGGCGGCCCTTCATACTCTTTAATTGAGTAATGATTTGTTTTTTTTTGTTGCAAAGCTGACGACGTATTTTGCGACGCTTTGCTATATGTGTCCTGCTCTTTGTTGCACACTTTTTCACTTATGCTCAAGAGAGGCAGTACTTTTTCCTCTTGCGAAAAATTGTCTTTATATGTGTGCCTATTCCTGTTATTTGGTGTCGATGTCGTATTTGATTCCAGGTCGTTTTGTCTTGGATCAGGGTGATGTTGTTTCCTGTACACTACAATAATCAGTATAATGACGAGCACAATGACCAATAATCCAAAAGCAACGTAGATAGCCAGCTGCATGGTATCCGATAATCCAAAGTTGGTGATGGGTGAACTGGTAGCACGGAGGTTAGGCTGTTGGGAACCACGCTGCCAGTCTGTAGAAGGCTTCGGTGTTTGCTCTTTACCAGTCGATTGCGTACATGTTGTACCTATCCATCCTTCAGCACACTCGCACATGAATCCTCCCATTACATCTTGCAGACAGGTTCCTCCATTTTCACAAGGATTGTCTCCATCACAAACAGTGAAATGATCGCTACAGTTGGGTCCGCCGAATCCGAAGGCACATTCACAACGGTAGTCATTCACCAAATCGAAGCAAACTCCACCGTTCTTGCATGGTGACGCGACGCAGTCGTTGACGTTGTTCTGGCAGTGATCACCGTTAAATCCTCGAGGACATTCACAATGGACCGAATCAGATTCCGCGCGGCAGGTACCACCGTTTTCACATCCATGTGTTGCGCAGAGGTTCTCCTCACATCGATCTCCACGGAAGCCATCTGGACATCTGCATTGGTAGGCCACGTTGTTGTTCAGGCATGTAGCTCCTGCATCAAACAAACAAAATGAAATGTACAGATTAGTCCAGTTTTCTATATTAACTGTCACATTTATATTAGAATTGTCTCACTATCGCTGAGTGCATGTTGTGAAATTCTATAATTATTTCTTTCAGAAAAAGATCCCGCCCATTCATTCGATGTTTTTTATAATACATTTATGAAATAAGAAGTGTATGGTAACGTACCGTTGCGGCAAGGCGATGAAGAGCAGTGGTCACGGATCTCGCAGTGAGTGCCGGTGTAACCCTCTTGACAGGCACAACGGTAGCCATCGAATGTTTCAGAACATGTGCTGCCATTCATGCACATGTTGGAGTCACATCGAGGAACTTGCGTCTGGCATAAATCCCCAGTGTAACCACCAGGACAGAGGCACGTGTAGCCATCAGAACCACTCTGTAAAATACAAGAAAAAGAGAATAAACGTAAGTCACATGACGTTATCTAAGGGGGTTTAACTCAAACATTGTTTGAAGACCACTAACGTTACAAGCTGGACATGTTTATAGATTAAACTTTGTAATGAGGGTGTTTCCTTACCCTGCAAGTACCTCCATTGAGGCAAGGACAAGTCTCGGCTGTCTCACAGGTGTGTCCAGTGAAGCTAGGTAGACAGTAGCATTGGAAGCCCAGGGGTCCTTCATTGCGACACGTTCCACCATTCATGCATGGATGCTGGTTGGTGCAGTAGTTCAGATCTGAATCAGGGGGAGGAGAGGATAAAAGGTTAACTTCTGCCAAGTATGACATCGAATCTTATCAACTAAACATAACTTTGTGCCTTCTTTGATGACATCAGGATAATCTTCTTATTATTTTTCTATACAAGTATATCCTTTATTGTTATTGATGTTAGATAGCTGAGATGATATCTTTTAGAAGTTCCCAGTTTAGTTATCATAATCAGGTTGTAAAAATAAGGTTATAAGACTTGTTAGATTTTATAAGAATATTTACCTCTTTCGCATAGGAGTCCTCCCCAGCCTACATTGCAGACGCACTCCCCTGGTACGGTACAAGTCCCTTGCTCACAGCCAGCGTAGGTCTCGCATTGGTCACATGCTGTTCCTTTGTACCCATTATCGCACCTATCAAAGAAAAATATAATAACATTATTGATTTATCGGAATTTCATTGGGATTCTCTGCTATATGAATAATATGGTTCACATAATGCAATTTTGAACTAAATAACAGGTGACGTGTAAATCCGTAGATCGAATTATCCACGTTTAGTCTCAATTCATTAACTTTGAATGGAATTTCCACGGACCTAATAAGTGTGTATTACTTTATCATACGTGACAAGATCATCATGAACGTATGGAGGATCGAGTCGGAGTCGTTCTGCATATGCCATCGACATATCTTGGGCACTGCTAATGAAACAAGACGTGGGCATTTGAGCTCAGCACCGCTCTCCTGTATACCTTGTAATTTAATCAACGCCGCGGCTTCATCGAGACACGCGTGGCGCATAATCTTCCAAGAGGTAAAAGGCGTTTGCGTTTTACAGATTTAATATTCATATGTTTTCAAGACACCGACCTTGTTCGCGACATGGATCAGAGTTAATGGATACCAAAAATGAGATGGAGAGAAAGAGGGAGGTTGCTACGAAGGTATAAGGAAACAGAGGCAGAGGAAGAATGGTACGGTCGATTATAATCTACTCAGCCTAAAAGCTATCTTATCCATCACATTGTTTCGACTTTCGAGATCTTTAACGCCATCTATTAGTTATTCATAAGTGATTTCAAATAAAATGACATTATTTGTCAAGAAGAAAAAAGTATACAATAGTATTTCAACAATCACTTTAATCTTCGAGAAAAGGTTGTTTCTACATATTCTTACCTGCAGGAGTTAGGTGAGTCGCAGGAACCATGCACACATCCTTCTGAACAAACGGCTGTAAGGAAAGGGAGGATATGAGAAGAGAAAGAACGCATTAGACTTGATGAATGAAAATAAATTGCTGAATCAATGGTACATTAGCTATTCCTCAGAAAAATTGCCTAGCTAAATTTACTGCGCATGCTCTGATGGTCTAGCAGCTACCCTGGTGGTTCAATATAAGCAGTTACACAAGCCCATTGACATAGTCCTCGCTCTCCGGCTGCGCTATGTTTGTTTTCGGCTCATGTTCAACATCCCTACCTCTTTGGGGAAACCTCTAGAGAGTTCATGTTGCATCTAACCAAACACCCTTCATATCTAACATCTTTGAATTTGTCACTTTCATTGTCATCGAGTTTCTTCCTATCGCTTTCCCTCTCTTTCTTGTTTTTGTTTTTTTGTTGCTCGTGCTGTCTTTTGCCTTGCATTCCCTATTCCTATTCCTGAGTGTTTAGTAAAGAATCTTGTACAAACGTAAAGATTGAATCGATGGGGAAAAACCTGGCTGACCCGACCGCTTACTATGAAATCCTTCGGGCTTTCCGATACAGCGAGGGTGATAAGCTCAGCGCCATTTTACGCCGAGATGAATTGAATGTGTGAAGGAAAGAGTAGATCGAGGCACGCAATCTTAAAAGCGCTCCAAATCCCCATGCATCCTCCACAGTATCCCTTTTAAATACAGCTGGAGGGGTTGTATATGTTAATCAGAATTCGCGTCTTCTTCATCAATGAATGTACACCCACGCAAAACTGCATCAGGTATAGTTGTGATATTTCTGCCTGTGATAGTACGTTTGGCTTTGCCTTCAATGCTAGAAACACCGACCTGTTTTGTTTCCGATTTCTTTACATTGGCATACTCTATACTTTATAGGCCTGAACTTTGAAAAAATACAAAATAACATCCCGATAGCTATATGAGCAGATGGCTCTTATCCTGACGATTCCCGTAATTTTGATGGGGGTCAAACCAAAAACCGACCTTAACGATGTTTGAAGAGGAGGGAAATGAATGGAGTGGCAGGCAGTAGTTCATTATGTTAATGATATGCATAGTGGAATCGTGGTTTTTCTCAGGTCGCGTGTGCATCAAGAGCTCTAGTCGCGAGTCTGTCTCGCGTGCTCTCTGTATATCGCAGGCCATTGATCAATGCAGACAGTTCACAGATGAACCCAGGGGCGTATTGTGGCCTCCATTCAAAATTGGGTCTATACAAGAAAAAAATCTCTGGACGCGTTCGTCCGCAACCTTGCTGGCAATTAGCATCATTACCCAATCAGCCAAGATTGGTTTGAATTCTTACTCATTGGTTTCAAACAACAATCATTATTGTTTTAAAAATACATTCCCGGAAGCTTGGACTCTAAAGTACATGTAGGAATGTCCCCATAACAAAGTTAACCCTCTTTATTTCCAACTGATTCATCATGACTTACAATCAGTTGTTCTCACTCCGAGAGGAATTTAATTTGAACTAATTAGATGGTTTAATAGAATCGGTTTACTGTAAACGTTTTATTCGACGCGTCTACCATTTTCAATTCATGTTAAGTTGGCACAAAATGTTTCATACAAAAAGTCTAGTCTGCACGTGACCTTAAAATTGGCGCGCTTTCTCTAACAGACGTGTGAATCACACAATAATTCCCGCGGAGCCTTAAAATGTGAAGTTTAATAAATCTAACATTGTGTTTTCCAGCATTATGCTATTTCTAAAGAGGTTTCCATGCCACCAGAAAGAGGATTTCAATACCATCCTTGTGCCTTCTATTCACAACCTATCACACGTGAAAGGTACAATGGCACAAGACCAGGTGTTCGCTACAATTCTACAGATGCGCCCTCGGAATAAAAAATAGAAAAAAAGAGGAAGATCCATCACACCCAATGTAGGCAAGCCATTCACACAGCCATGACTTATGAAAAATAGATGGATAGAAAACAATCGATGTCTGTGTCAAAAGCCAATCCATGCAATAAAAAAGGGATATGATGAGCACTACGCCATCAGGAGGATTTTGGATAATGCGAATAAAGTGGGGGAATTTAGATGCGTCGCTGGGAGCGTGGTATATCCACGTCGGGTATTGTATGTACTCTAGATCGATAAGACTTCTCGTATTTCAACACGGACTAAAAGGAACTGATTTGAGAAATGGGTAAGAGTATATGAATGGTGATACGGACAGCCATGCATGAAAAGCATCAGACCGCCTGCATAATGCGCCCGTAATGTATACACAACTGAATAGTGCAAACATCAAAAAATTTACACGTCAATTCATTTCGATTGCGGCATAGAATTTCACTACAGTCTGTTATTTTTTATGGCGTGTGCATCACTCACTGGCTGAGCTATTATAGTAACTCAGTAAGCTTCATAACATATCGAAAGTCACATATTTGCAAGAAAATGAAATATAATTTCTTTAATGAAAAATAAATCAAAGCGTAAAAAGTTACAAAAACAATGAGTAACCTAACCACCCGTGAAACTCCTTAGCAAAATCGTTTCCCTTTTTTGTCTATGAAATGCTTTAACTTTACTTGACTCATTTTATTTGCAGAATGGAAAATTTTCTCAATTTTCACATCTTTCTCGCCATCTCGAAGTAGCGGTTTAGAACGGGGTGAAAGAATAGACTCTGGTCTAAATTGAATTTGGCAGTTGGCGGGTAGAGCTCAACTCAGCTCGTGATGGTGGAGAGGGGCGACTATGCGCGGAATCCCAGATACGATGTGCGATTTTATTTCAATCTCCCTTCACATCCTTCCAATTACCCTAGAGAAATGGCCAAGGATGGAATCCCTCCTGATAGACCACGGAGGAATATAATCTCCCCGTATAGAAAGAAGGATGTTAGATACCTAGCTCTATGATTGACTCAATTTGGAAGGCATGATTTATTTTCATTCCCAATTTGAATGGTACATATCTGGGGCATCGAATTTTCTTGGAAATTAAAAATTCTATAAAAGAAATAATGAAACGATGATCTATGTTCTGTCCCTTTGATGGACGTTAATAATTCTGGAGTAAATTGAAGTGTTATCTCTTCAGCTAGTCTGAGTCAAAACACACGGCAACGCTGCTATCTTCTTTCAAACAAATACTTATTGGCGCATCCCGTTCGGGCCTCTCGAAAATAAACCTACGATACCATTATCATTCGGTGTTATCAGTCCCGGTTGGTGTTTTGTTTTAAAACAATTTAGTGGTTATTAATCTATTTTGCTTACCATGTTCGCACCAGTTGCCTTCCCATCCGTCCATGCAGACTCTCCCACCATCTTTATCGCACAAGTAATGCCCAAAGAGGTCATCTTTCGGGATACAGGCGTCTCGACACTGGGACCCGTAGTAGGTTTCAGCGCACACCACCCTGTAGGAGTAGTCCAGCGTGTGCAACGACGTCGGGTAAGTATAGTTGGACCAGGTCGTGCTGACGTTCAACGATCTATGGATTCGCAGGGTTTCAAGGCGCCTTCGGTTTCCTGTATCATGGATGAAAGAAACGAAAACGATTAATATGATGGTAAATTAAAACACTTTATTTGTAATATCATTATACATATTTCAACTTGGTAACCTTGTGATTTTCGTCAATCATCTTCATTTGTGAACATTATATTAATAGACATTTAATATCTCTGGTTCTAGGTATTATTATTGGACTGGGCATACATAGCTGCCCTGGATTTAAGAAGCCCTCTCCGGCTGGCATTATTCTCTCCTTCACTGGTTCATTTTGGATCGCTCGACCTAACACTCACTCGGCCCATCCAAGCGTCATTGATATCGCTTACACGTGGAGTGAATTCATGCATCAAAAAAGAAAATTAGCATGATTATTCTACCACATTATGGATTGCCATCCATCCATCTGCTCATTACTCCCAGTTCGTGGGAAACAGGTAGGTTATAGGCCTACATTTTATACTAGCGTTAAAAAGGAAGACCCTCTCCCGTTTTATTTGTTACAAAAACCACCATCCTATAGTCCATTGATGAAACAAAAGCTATTATGATTTAGATTTTTTTTCACGCAAAAATACACTTCTAATATTTATGGATACATAACAATCATCACGGGTTACAAATTTCCCGCGGTTAGGGGGTTCTCGTCCAAGGCCAACTATTGATGAGAGGTGTGTTTCGATCGCGTGGCTGTCGCGTGGTAGGCGTGCTACAGTGTACACCTGTCTTATTAAATGACCACCCTCCCAATAGATATAACAGTCACGTGACCTTGACCTCCACATCACCCTTTCTCCCATTTCGATCCTTAAAAATGAGCAACATTTTGGTATCAACAAACAAGGGCCAAAACGGTCATCAGTATATTTAACATCTCATTCCGACATTCATAATTCATTTTGGAGAAGGAAATGATGAAGAAAACATCGAATCTGTGTTCTATTCTTAGCCGCATCCAGAAATGTCCTTATATGCAGAGGATGTTTGGTGGAGCTGGAGCGACCAGTGAATGTATTTTCATTGCAAATAGACGGCATTCCAACACAAGCGACCCCAGTAGCACCAACCAATCATACTGGTACCAGCTGCTTCGCATTGGTCGACAAGATAACCGTAAATCTACCAGCTTTAGAATTGGACGTTTTCTTCTCACTACAGTTAATTGCCAAAATGATACTTCCTCGCAAGATCGGTTATAGGCCGCCTGGTCTGTGTTGCTCAAATCATTTGCGTTTAGGTCCATTCTCAAATCGACGTGAAACATCAGCGAGCTAGTACTAATTTCACCGCGAGAATCATGAAACGGGTGTTCGGCGAAGTGCGCTCCCACGGTTTCATGCAAAATTTTAATTAACCAAATTTCACCTCGAATTTTTCCCATGTCCTTCAATTGAGCCGTTCTTATCAACATGTAACAAAATACGATAAGATTCTGTCTATCTATCCCACCCCCCCCCCTCTCTCTCTCTTTATATTTCACACTTTCTAGTGAGTGGCAATGTAAGTTCAACGGGTGAAGGATATATGTGTGTGGCATACTGCAAATAATTATATCAGTTTAAAATTATGTGGTTGGGGGCAGATGGCTCCATTCCCACGGCCCTCTCATCCAAAACAAGTTGCGTATGATAATTCAAGGCACGCGAATGAAAAATGGATTGCACTATCATAAACAACTACCCATAAAAACACAATAGATGAATTATGACCTCGTTGTTTGAAAACCTATAACAAATTAAAACGATGATCAAAATAATGAATATTTCATAACATGCTGGTACACCGTCAATGATGATTGTTATCAATCATATGAAAATATGATATAGTTACTACTACAATGAATCGACTACTAAACTAAATTATGCTTGAGGGCATCGCAATACATCATCCATGACCTTAATGTTAAAGTACTTAATCAAATATGTAGGCATATATGTCTAAATTTACACAATCACAGAAAGTCACATTGATATAATGTAGCCTACATCATCGTAGCTCAACTTCAGAATGAAGTACACGGTACAATTGCATTGGGAGTGTGCTATTGTCGTCCATTGATTAGGCGGGCTCCACGCAGTCAGCCATGCAATGATGCTGCTAGTATAGTTAGGCAAAAAATACTAGTTGCTCCACAACCGCATGATGCATGTGTGGTGGCGATAAATCCTTCGTTCTCCAGGCCGTAGGTATTCCATGCCAATATGGCCTCAGAGATAGTCAATTGATGAATAGTTCTTTAAAGTTCATTTAGTATTCTTAAGCACCTAGTTGTGAAATAGTTCAGCAAAAAGTAGGATTATACCGATTTTCTATCGGCATGCAGCAAAATGGTCTTTACTGTAACAGAGGTATATTGTTCGGAATATTTTCCCCAGTAAAATTCCAAATAAAGCCCACTTGCTGGTATCGAAGGTATCAAGAAAACACCCACATCCGGTGTTTGATTTATACAAGTCAAGACATGAAGGGGGTAGGTGCGGACCATGTGTGTCAAAACTATACCCCTTTATAATCAAAGAACTCCGGGCAGGGGGGAACATTTTATTGCTCTGCAGGCGGAAGTCATTTATGATCATCCATTATAGTCTGGACGTATAGGAGGAAGTAAAAAGAAAGGTCGATTTTGGAATGGTATAAAAGCGTAATCACGACTCGGGATGTAACATGAATCACAGAGGAGAATGGAAAATGAAAGAGCGTCCATATAGTATAGTATTCCAGAGGAGATGACTCCGAGAGATGAGCTTCGAGAGATGCTAATTCGCTTTGCAAGTTGATATGTCACATCGTATTATTCCAAACATAGTCCACGCGTGTGCTCCTTCCAATTGTTACCTGATGTGAGCCCGTGTTGGTGACAATATAATAATAATCCACAATGAGCTGGAGCATGTAAGCTTGCGAGGAGGCGAGTGGAAAGAAGATGCCTCGATAACAGATGAGTGTCTCGTTATTGACATGACTTTTGAAGAATGTATCCACGGCGGGGTGTGAGCCTTTACACGCATTAACATCCATTGAATCGAAGAAGTGAAGTGAGGAAAGGGGGGGGGGGTGTTGCTGGAACATAATTCTTCATTGGTGTCATGTACATGTGAAGTGATAGCGATCCGTAATTAGTATAATATAAATCCAAGATTTGCAGTGGCAGAGGCTGATGACGACGCAAGTTTTGACGGATATGTAGGGAAAATTATCTTGAAGTTTGAAGTGTTCAGAATATCTTGTCACGTCACCGTCAAAGAATGTAAATCCAGATAGACCAGGTCGTTGATACACTAAAACATTGCACCGTAGTATACATGTAATTTCTTTAAATATACCAAGTATCGTTAATAATAATTACTGACATCATCATTAAATAAAAACAACATATTGATACAAATACAATAACACAATACAATAACTGTAGCCTGTATTAGAATGAGTGTAGGCCTATCCATCGTTGACTGGACTATACACCATGTGCCATTACATAGTTTGGAGTAACAACACGATTATAATAGTTAAAGCAGTAAACGTAGAAAAAAACTGACAAATTAGTTAAAAAGACTAATAAAATGCAAGAAAAATAAATAAGGAACACTAAAAACAATAAACACAAGTGAAATGTGTTGAATGTTATGACTATACAATCACTATTGTTTGGATGTGAATAGTACAGGTGCCCTTTATTGACATAATAGAGGGGTGTGTCAGAGGAATGCTTCCCATACCCCTTAAAATACACAATAATCAAAATAAATCCTCACCATCTTTGAACCCTGTGCTGCTCTCGTCATGCCAGGCATCTAGGGCGAGTGAAAAATCACGCTGTAAATTAGAGGAAAAAATGTCGTTATCACAATAAAACAATAAAATACTTGGTTGTATAAGCCATGTTACTTGATATTGGAGTTACTGATAATGACGATGTCGTTAACATTTTGAAACATAACAACACAAATCTCTTTCAACTCCTGTTGCATTATAAGCCCACTATTTATTACATACCACCGAGGAGAAACTAGGGCATTATTTGAAAGGATAGTAGATAATGGTTGATGGGATGGTATTATGGAGGAGATACCCCCTTCGAAGATGAGTTCAGTTTTCATTAAAAGGGGCTACTCAACCATGGCTGCTTCCAGTACAGTTGCGGGTATTGCTCTCCCCCCCCCCCCCCCCTATTCACCATAAGAAACATCATGCGCATCTTATTGATTGAATTGATGAAGGCAAAATCACAGAATTTTCACACGCTCACAAACTTCAAGCTCCTTCTTACAATGTAGAAAATACACAAATAATGGAAGGGAATGAAATCATTCAATGTAAAATAAATGATCAATGTGTTGTATCACTGAAAAGGTTACTTACCGGCCAGTCGATATCAAAATCAATTTGTATTAATCCATCATGAACTTCGAAAGAATTTTCTCCCAAAACTGATGTATTCCGGAAAGCAAATGTGCATTGTCCTGGCAAGGGTTCCTCGGGAATTTCGCGAAGAAAATGGAGCAAGCACACTGTGAAATATGTTCTACATGGTCCGACACACTGATCAGTACTTGTATTATTCCCACAACATTGTCCATTGATATCCTTGGCTTGGTCGTTGGAAAAGGAGTTGAGGCGAAGTTCGAATGTCCCTGCAGCTGTTGTGACCTGTAGAAAAACACACATAAATGGAAAATATTAATATACTATTTTTGCCATTCATGAATATGCGATGCAGCTGGATCATGGATGTTCTGAACGTTCGTTCGACATGCCGTATCTCTCGGCTGAGCGTATGGCCGTTATCGGCGTTCGGTAACAGTAAACCGCTTATAGTATACTATGGTTATTGGTGGGTGAGTTCGATTGCTGAAATCGAACAAACTAAGGGTGTATAAAACATAAATTCTTACCTTGGAAATAATGCTAATCCATTGCAGAGCAAAAATCACTGTATTACTCCAGTTAAAACGCCCCATAGTTCCAAAAAACATAGCACGCCAAGAAGGCAGTGCGGCCGATCCGTTATTCCTTTCTTATCAGTCCTCTCAAGTCTGCGAGCTTTGATCAACTTAGCTTGCTCCGTTTGCTCTCTTTGTCATTTTCGGGCTCTCTCTCTCTGCGTTTACTACGCCCCGCCCATAAGTGTGGACAAGCCGATCAGCCGACCAATCAGAGCTCCCACACGCGTGCCTTGGTTTCGAGGATAGACTGAACAAATAATCACGAGAGAGGGCGGCAATCTACTTTTGTCACTGATGCCAAGTTCTCATGTTGCACAAGTATAATGTCAAATTTGACAGTACTGTGTATATACTCCAACTCAAATAAAAAATATATTCGAAATATATATCTAACTAAAATGTTGCTCATCCATACGATATAAATGTAGAAATTGATGAAAACTCGCGAAAATTACTTTATCATCGCCGAGAAGGATGCACGTGTGTATAATCCGACTGTCAGATTGTAAATCCAGGTATAATGTCGTATCACTTGTTGCGAAATGCTGGCTTCGTAAGTTCCAAGTATATCAAAAGTTTGACTGTTCGTGAGGACTGCTTTTTGTTTAATAACCCCGACTGAGCAAGACGCTCTCCTTTATATACCAGCCCTCGGCTCGTGCCAATGTTTTGCATATGCATAGGATTATGGCCCGTGGTCGCGTGGTGCTGGATTTTTTTGTGTGTGCTTTAAATCCGGATTATCTCTTGCCACGGTCCAATGTTCATTATCGATGTGCCTTCTACAAAACAAGCCGGGCCTGTTTTTTCCTCCTCACTGAGCTCTTCTTTTATGTTTGTTAACTAAAACCTTCATTTTATGGCTAATTGCATGCTGGCTTGGCAGTTTATAGGACTTTGTGTTAGCTCTAGTTTGTAAAGGATAACACATTAGTTCGCGTGCCTTCAAACTCAAGAAGCCTAAACCTTACTACCAATACAACATGTTCATTCATACGGGACAAAATTATAAAAACATCTAAAAGCTAACAGTCAAGTAACTAATGGACTCTAGAAATCGTTTTATGAATATTGAACCTGTCAGATTCCATCTTTTACCCTTTTTTATTTTTAAAATTTATATTTATATTTAGTCAGCTGATGTATAATTATTTTTCATCACATTCGATAAACTTCATAATTTTCTGTGTAGAACTTGGCATAAGTTGTGGCTCTTTCTGGAAAATAGTTACAGTACCGTTCAAATTCCATCAGTCTGATGTATTTCAGTTGGTTATTCTCCAACAAAGAGGAGGTATAACGGCGGCACACGTATCTCAGTGGCCAGGTCTTTATATTAGCATTGTCCCTCACTTTTTTTTCCTGTTCTGAGGCTCCCCCTCAACTTCTCCAAAGTTCTTTTGTTCAACGAGGCCCTACCCTCGTCAGCAAGTGTGCTGCTATTGTGCGGGACGCGTGCCCCCCTGTCAATAGATTGAATGGGTCCACGAGAAGGTTTTTCATCACTGGGTTCTTTCAATCTATTCAAATTGTGTGGTCAGCTGGGTCCAAGCAACTTGCCTGCACCTGCGCTTCGTTTGTTAGTCTGCTATTGTTGTTAGGGTGGTTGTCTTGCTTTTTCCCTTCTTAATGCACCCGTTCGGTTGTCTGGTTTTACTATTATTTTCTTCCCAGTTCTGCAAGAGAGCCCCTGACCCGAGTGTATTCATTGACGATTGCTGCGGCCAATCAGAGAACCGTATTCACAGAGCGCGCGATAAAAGCCGGAAACCCGTACGTTTGTGAATGACTTCTTCCTGTAATGATATGCAAATACGGGCTAGCCCTGTTCCAAGCACGTGCCACTACTACAACTTACAAGGTCATTGTAGTCATAAATATCCACCAAAAAGACAATTTTGAGTTTTTCATTTCTCCACACTTTACTAAACATACCAATAGATAGGGGCTGGCAGGTGAAATACTATAATATAGAAAGTCGCTATAAAAGCAAACTTTTGTATTGTATGTGACATGGAGACTAATGATGTTATTATCAGTGATCATGTAATATTAATGGTTCTTATCATCAAAATGTCTACAAGAATGTTGCTATCATATTGAAATTCTAAAGGCACACGTTTCCAAATGATTAGCAAACTCTAGAAACACCGCCAATCAAAGTTCAAAATCATGATTATTTACATAGTTATCATGCACGTGTACATGCTGCAAACATGACAGTGGATAAGCTATAACGAGACCAAGATATATTGAGGTCAACATAATAACGAGAAGATAAATATCCTGACAGCTTTTTATTAATGAATAAAGAATGAAAGATATGGAGGTAGGGAACGATGATGATGTAGAAGTATAGACGGAAAGAGAGAGAGAGAGAGAGAGGGTGGGGAGGAGAGGGTTTATACGGTGTCCCATCATGACCTATACCACCCCTCGTTCTTGTGTGCCAAACAAGTTACGATATAATATTATATCGTGCCTTAACAGCAATGAACATGCCATTGGAATCCTTAGAGCATAATATAGAAAAGACAGTAATCATGTAAACATAAAATTACATTTACTGATTACTCAGGTGATTTTAGCCAAAGAGACCCGACTGATAAGTTTTTAAAATGTTTCGGTTGATAGAGCTTATTCATAAACCAACGTAAAACATAAATTATAAACATTATAATGGGACTTTTTTTACATTCTATCGCTCGCCTTCTTCATCACTACGATTTGTTATAGGTGCAATTTTCTCTATGAAGCATGCATGATAAAGACAATTTATTATGACACATCGGAAGAAACATAGTACGATCGAACAAAATATAGCATCTTTCCTGTTTCATCATGTTCTGGGTGCATTCTGCAGGTGTTGTGCGAAGGTTCATCCAAGTATTTATCTCATCGTTCGGGGTAAAAATGAAATCATTTCATCTTTCATTTTGATGTATGAATGTAAAATAAGACTTATTAAAACACTAGGGCCTACCACTACTATACCAATTGTAATGAAACGGTGTTTTTAATGATGAACTCCCTTTTCACAAATTGCCATAATACTTTTGATGATTTATTTTCGTCCCGTCTTTGTTGGCCAAAGTGTCATATCAATTTCAATATACCTGATGGGCTCAACAACATCTTTCATAAACTTTTTTTTTGTAATCAGTGAAAAGTTTAGTTGAAACATTAATGTAAGCGTTTGATAATCATTGTGTCTGCTTTGCTTTGGGCAAAATTAATTAGAAAATGTTATTGGTTGGTATTATCAACTTTATGGAAAGGAGCCAGGTAAATGGAAAGGCTTGCATGAAAACTATTATTTTGGGCACGTGCCTCGGCTTTCTTAGCGTAATCCCTACACACGTAAATTTGCATAACAATAGGTAAATTCTGTATGAACACACTCATAGCCTAGCCGCTGTTTGCGCGGTGAAGAACAAAATGCTGGCCAGGGCGGTACTCTTTGATCTTAAGGGCGTTCAAAAAAATGGGTAATTTACACCAACCCACATCGGTTACACAAAGAAGATTGCAATCAGTATTATGCATACATATTCAGAAAGAAATAAATTGTGTATATTGTAGTAAAGAGTTGTAATAAGTTGTATAATGTAAAAAATTACTATTATTAAATGGGTTCAAGAGTGTAGCCAATGAGAAGCCTCAAAATACATGAACATCAAGTGTGCGTGCATTACTTGTTGCCATTTGCATGCACAGACATTGCATTTAGGTGATAACAACCGTCAATTTCCCGACTTTATACTTGTAGACACATCTTATAAAACAAATAATACATGTGTTTAATTTGTGCATTAGTGATATGCACTTAAAGGTAATACAAAGTTTTGGTGTAGGGTCATGAATTTGGTTCACATGAACATATTGGAAGCATATACGATTCAACAATATTTAGTGATCGTTGTCGTGGTCGAAATCGACTATAAAGTTATGAAAATTGAATAATAAACACTTTATGTTGAATAGCTCCCTCTCAAGGTCAAGATATTAATTAAACTATAAAACAATGTTTATTGAGTAAAATCGACCGATTAGCTATTCCTGTTCGAAAATTATATACCACAACTACATACTCTGAGATTTTCATGGTCGCAGCTACCATTGTACGGCCGTAAGAGCTATTTGAAATTTATGAAAATTTACCGGGAGCACCGGTAAATCTTTATATTCAATTTTTCTCGAAAGCAAAAGTGTTTTAGGTGGTAAAATTTCTGGTGTTATTAATACATTCACAGGGGCATCCAAATACATCAAACTTGTAAAGAATCACTATCCACCCATTTTTCAAAATTTGCCAAAACTTTGTAATACCTTTAACTGCACTTGGTTAATTCACAATGAGACGGACAATGAACTCGGCAAGTCTCGTTCATTATACTGTGACTGTGCATATTCACTAATGCACTTTTTTCTCTTTACCTCTTCAGAGGGACTTTATTATTCCATTTATAAAAAAATAATATAGACTATTTACAAAACAAGTAAAATGAAACATGAATTATATACAAGTCATATCAATTATGATCATTATAACATTTCTATTACTTTCTTAACTTTTTCATTATCGAAGTGTCTTATATTTTCCTTGTATTTCAAATAACATTTCAATATTCACTAATGTACTTGCAAACATGTATCTCGCTCTTGATTTTTTTTGTTAATGTTACACTAAGGACTAATTAAAAATGACACACATTTTCAATTAACATTACGTTGGTATCCCCCATTAACCTCGGTAATCTAACATTGTTAGCTGTATTATCGTAAACAGCCTATACCATTTTGTCTTTTGAACATGATTTAGTCAATATTGTTCCAATCAGTTAAGAAATCTCATATGGTACATACCAAAGTATTTTATGGCAACTTTTAGGAGCGATATTTATTATAAAAAAGTGTCAAGAAACGGAATATAATTTAGTTGTTATGATATCATGGAACTTTTCTGAGATAACGTTAAATGTAGTCTATACTTTGACAATAAATCATCATTTCCATCTCATGCGCAGTACGGAGTTTAGAACTGAGTTTTTGACAGCCGTTACAATCATAAAAGAAGTTTGTGACAGCTGTTTTACT